CCGGGCCCTCGTGCCCTCGCACGCCACTCGTGCAAACGGGGTGAGCGGTCGGTCACGTACCCCTGCAGGGGCTCTGGGTACGGCGTGTTCCCCGGGCCCTCGTGCACTCGCACGCCACTCGTGCAAACGGGGTGAGCGGTCGGTCACGTACCCCTGCGGCGGCACCAGGTGCTGGCCAGCCGGGGTGGGAGCCTGATCCCGATGGTACCGGGCCCCTGAGTCCCTGCGGGGTGGGTGCCCAATGCCCCTGGATCCGATGACTCCAGGGATCTGAGTCTCTGCGGGTCTGGTGCCCGATCCCCCTGGGTCCTGACAGCTCCGGGGCTCTGACTCCCTGAGGGGCGGGTGCCCGATCCCCCTGGGTCCTGATGGCTCCGGGGCTCTGACTCCCTGAGGGGCAGGTGCCTGATCCCCCTGGGTCCTGATGGCTCTGGTGCTCTGACTCCCTGTGGGGCGGATGCCTGATCCCCCTGGGTCCTGACAGCTCCGGGGCTCTGACTCCCTGAGGGGCGGGTGCCCGATCCCCCTGGGTCCTGACAGCTCTGGGGCTCTGACTCCCTGAGGGGCGGGTGCCCGATCCCCCTGGGTCCTGACAGCTCTGGGGCTCTGACTCCCTGAGGGGCGGGTGCCCGATCCCCCTGGGTCCTGACAGCTCTGGGGCTCTGACTCCCTGAGGGGCGGGTGCCCGATCCCCCTGGGTCCTGACAGCTCTGGGGCTCTGACTCCCTGAGGGGCGGGTGCCCGATCCCCCTGCTCCGGGGCTCTGACTCCCTGAGGGGCAGGTGCCCGATCCCCCTGGGTCCTGACGGCTCCGGGGCTCTGACTCCCTGAGGGGTGGGTGCCCGATCCCCCTGGGTCCTGACGGATCCAGAGTTCTGACTCCCTGAGGGGTGGGTGCCCGATTCCCCTGGGTCCTGATGGCTCCGGGGCTCTGACTCCCTGAGGGGCAGGTGCCTGATCCCCCTGGGTCCTGATGGCTCTGGTGCTCTGACTCCCTGTGGGGCGGATGCCTCTCCACTCCCCCATCATCCCTCGGCTCAACTCCTCTGCCCACCGGCAGTGGCTGGAGCCTCCTTTCCGCCCCAAGCCCGACCTTCCACCATCTTCGCCAGCAGATTAGTACATGCCGGGGCATGACCCCAAACTGGAGGGGTGAAGGGGGGGAAGACACGGAACAAGCTTCCCCCCCTACTCCCAAGTTGGGTTCAGCTGTGCACCATGTTCGGAGTCCTGCCACACGGGCGGGGGTGGGGGCGCAAATTTTGCCTTTGCCCACAGGCGCATAACACCCACGCTACGCCTCTGACTGGGTACATGATATTGAACCTTAAATACCCTTATGGCATTTAAAGAAAACTATTTCACCCTTTACAGTTTTCTTTATCCTTGTGTCTTTAATTGTTTTGTCTGTTAACTATGTGTATTTTATTTGTTAATGGCAGTGGCAACAACTCCTCTGTTTTGCACTATGGACATGCTGGAGCCCCAAATGACAAGACTATTGATGATGGAGACTTGTGGTAAGTTAAAGGATTTTTGTAGTGTTATTTCTTATATACCTCTCAAAAGAAACATTGCATCTGAGTTCTGTTAGTCATAATTAGAGCAGTGGAAAGATGGCCACCTAAGGATTAGGGTCCATATTTTTTAAACATGTTGCACAACTTTGTGTGACTTGGCTTTTTGGGTGCCAAACTTGATCTGTTTGTCTCTTTTTCTTCAGGTGTTCTGGGTACCTGTGTCCCCAGTTAGTGGGTGGTTTGGGGAGGAAGGACCCAGATTTCAAACACTTAGTTTCAGGGTTTTGATTTAGACATTATAGAGATGAATGTCAATAGCAAAATCTAGGTCCAGGTTTGTATTTGGAACTTCAAAAGAGATGCTTGAATCTGGGGTTTTAGTTCAGGTCCATATCTGTTCTTTTTGTGATTGTTAGTTAAATAATTAAATGTGAATATTAACTTGATCTCTGTAATGTGGTACATGTATGTATATTTTAGTAATGACATTGTAGCTGAAACTGTGCAAATATAGCCATTATTGAGTTAAACTGATGTCAAATAATGTCTATGAGTTTATAAAAAGCAGAAGATATAGTGCATGATATAAATGAAAAGCAGCTTTTGTATTTTTCCTTTCAAGATCTAGGTTGGGGGTTACATTCATAGAAAAAGAAGTCCACCTAATTAACTTTAGGGGAAATAATCATAGACGTTAAAGATCGAAAACATCTAGTAGATTATCTAGTCCATTTCCGTATAATTCCAGGATTGCTCCCTATAGCATATTCAAAAGGAATGGGGTGTATATTTTCACATTTGTTTGCAAAGGTATAGAAAGCATATTAATAAACTCAAAAATCTATTAAGGAAAACTAGGAGACTGCTCACTATGCATGCCAACCCAAAAGCGGCCAGAGAACCTGATGATGTCATTCTGTCACTCAACAGGAAAAAAAAATTATATATAGAAAGAGAAAATGTATTATATAACACACAGATATTCCTCTTTAGCTAATATCACAGGCACATTAGAAAATGCAGCAGTATGAAACAGGTGGATAAAGTCTTTATTAACAGGGTGCAAACATTTTAAAATGATTATTTTTGTGTCTATTATTCTTGTCTGAATAGTCTGCTGAAAGCCATCCAGTGTTCTGCTCTGTTCTGGTGTGTCTCCATTTTATATTAAAGTGTATGGTACACTATAAGAAGTTTATCATATCATAGTGACTAATAGGTAAGATATATGAACATGATACAGTAGTGGCTAATAAATTATACCAAGGTTACCAAATGTCAGCATGCAGCATTCAGAGAATCCATAAAGTGATTACTGAAGGAACAAGAATTGTTCTCATAATATATATTATAATGTATTTATAATTTAACTAAAAGTGTTTTTAAAGAGGGGAGGAAATATTAAGTGACTTTTTAGGCCAATCTTATAAATAGAGCCCACTTATTTATGATCTAAAGCCTTGAACATCCTCTATGGCTGTGTGCTGGACTGTGAAAAGACTTTCCTAGGGCCTGATCCAGCAGTCCATTTAACTCTGTGAAAAGACTTTCATACACTTCAGTGGACTTGGGATCAGTTTCCTAGTGAACAAGAAAGAGTCCAAGGAGGAGATTTTTAAAAGTGTCTAAGCAATTTATGAACTTTAGAGCTACTGACTTGCAGTGGCACTTTGGGTCTTAAGTGCCTGTCACTTTTTAAAGTGAGACTTAGGCACACTTCTGTGAGTGTTAACTCATATCACGCATCCTTTGTAGCAGCCTCAGTGGAGCAAGGATTAGCATTTATCCTCAACAAAAAACAGGAATGGTTTAATAGGTGATGAGCTTTCATGGGCCAGACCCACTTCCTCAGATCAAATAGTGGAAGAAAATTGTCACAACCATATATACCAAAGGATACAATTTAAAAAAATGAACACATATAAAAAGGACAAATCAAATATCAGAACAGAAGGGGGATGCAGGAGGGGGTGCAGGATCGGGGAGCGGTTTGGGGTACAAGGTCTAGGAAGAGGTTTGGGTACCAGAAAGGGTCTAGTTGACCTGGAGGAGTTTGGGGGTGCAGGTTCCGGGAGGACCTTGTGACCTGGAGCAGTAGTTTAGGGGGTGCAGGAGTTTGGGGTGCAGGGTCTAGGAAGAGGTATGGGTGCCGGAGGAGTTTGGGGGTGCAGGATCTGGGAGGATGTTGTGACCTGGAGCAGGAGTTTGGGGTGCAGGGTCTAGGAAGAGGTATGGGTGCCGGAGGAGTTTGGGGGTGCAGGATCTGGGAGGATGTTGTGACCTGGAGCAGGAGTTTGGGGTGCAGGGTCTAGGAAGAGGTATGGGTGCCGGAGGAGTTTGGGGGTGCAGGATCTGGGAGGATGTTGTGACCTGGAGCAGGAGTTTGGGGTGCAGGGTCTAGGAAGAGGTATGGGTGCCGGAGGAGTTTGGGGGTGCAGGATCTGGGAGGATGTTGTGACCTGGAGCAGGAGTTTGGGGTGCAGGGTCTAGGAAGAGGTATGGGTGCCGGAGGAGTTTGGGGGTGCAGGATCTGGGAGGGAGTTGTGAGCAGGAGTGTAGGAGGGGGTGTAAAGATTTGAGCGGTGACCTGGGGAAGGAGTTTAGGGTGCAGGGTCTAGGAAGGGGTGTGGGTGCAGGAGAGGGTGTGGGTGACCCTGAGGAGTTTGGGGGTGCAGGTTCCGGGAGGACGTTGTGACCTGGAGCCGGAGTTTAGGGGGTGCAGGAGTTTGGCGGGTGACCTGGGGAAGAGATTTGGGGTGTCAGGTCTAGGAAGGGATACGGGTGCTGGAGAGGGTGTGGGTGACCTAGAGGAGTTTGGGGGTGCAGGTTCCGGGAGGACGTTGTGACCTGGAGCCGGAGTTTAGGGGGTGCAGGAGTTTGGCGGGTGACCTGGGGAAGGGGTTTAGGGGGCAGGGTCTGGGAGGGGCCATGGGTACAGAAGCGGACGTACAGAAGGGTCGATGACTGGTCCCAAAAGTCCACAGCTCTCTGGGGCGTCTCCCCCCCCCAATCCTGCCGGGCCCGATCTCCTCCTCCATCCCCCCCCGGTCCACTTCCGGAGTTGAGACCCGCCTCCTACCCAGCCCGGGGAGCAATCCAGGACCCCGAATCCCTTTAGGCCGGAGGAGAAGGCAGTTTGGGGCCCAGCATCTAGGGCACCGGTACCCCGCTGGGAACAGAACCCCAAAGACACCCCCCTGGCGTGCAGGCACACACACCCACCCCCCCCCTCCTCCATCCCCCCCCGGTCCACTTCCGGAGTTGAGACCCGCCTCCTACCCAGCCCGGGGAGCAATCCAGGACCCCGAATCCCTTTAGGCCGGAGGAGAAGGCAGTTTGGGGCCCAGCATCTAGGGCACCGGTACCCCGCTGGGAACAGAACCCCAAAGACACCCCCCTGGCGTGCAGGCACACACACCCACCCCCCCCGGGTAG